ACACACACACACACACACACACACACACACACACACACAGGGGCACCTGCAAGATTTTATTGGAGGGTGCGCACAAACCCATCTCCCTGACACACACACAGGCCACATGGGCACAATGTGTGTGGCACACAAAAACAGCAACTTGGCACCGCGCCGGGTCCTGAGCGACAGCAACAGGAGCGCGATGCGCATCTTGTCCCACAGGGCCAAAGCGTGCGGACACATTTGTCCCGCTTTTGCCATCACRAAATGTGAAAGAAAGAAAACAGATATTGGACAAGCTGGTTAGCGGCTGCAGTTTGCAACATTACATCCTCACATACAGTACATATAATACATATACGTATGCTAGCTCAATAGTTTGAATTGGGGAGTAACATCAATTAATGGCCCTGAGATTTCCAATCAGAGGTCCAGAATAATTCACTTGATGCAAAAGCTTCAATAATAGTCCCATGACCCGTGCATGAGCAACCTTAACGGGTCAACTGATGGTGGTACTCTCTAGTACTGAAAGTATGCTCTAAAGCACTACAACTACAGTATATAACATTTTGTGTTGTGTATGCCCAAAAATGATTAAAGTAAATAAATATGGATAATGATATTTATATAATACATTAAAATATAATTGACAATACATTAAAATTTAATTGACTTATATATGTATATGGAAATACAGTATGTATATATATATATGTATTTATTTATTTTTATGTGAAACATTGTATCACCCTTGCATGAAAAAAATCCAGCATTTTTCCTGCTTTTGGTTAAAACTCGGATGAATAAACTGAAGAAAGGTGTTKTGAGCTTCCAGGCTGACTGTCCTGTCCTTCATAGATGTGCTACAGCACTGGCAGGACAGCGAGTTTGTAGCAGTATACCACAGAGGGCGCTATTTCCGTCTTTGGGTTTACCGTGGGGGCCGGATGCTGTCTCCCAGAGAGATCGAACACCAGATCCAGAAGATCATAGATGACCCTTCACCCTCATTCCCTGGAGAAGAAAAGCTGGGAGCTCTCACTGCTGGAGAAAGGTAGAACTTTGATTTCTTTTACACCACACTTCATTTTTATCCCTGAAATGGTCTTGGGGTTGGGGGGCTATCAATGCCCTTTCAGTAATATTTATTTTACCTCTATCTCTAAATTTTTATGTTTATAGTTATAGTAGCTCATGCAGTGATGCTTCTCTTTTACATTTAAAGGATATTGTAAAAGGTGTTAATGGGGCAGAATTTTACCCTAAAAGAGATGCATTTTTGGCTTGTTGCTGTGGTCCTCCATCTCTCATCTCATCTGACAATAATCTCTCTAATTATGTGCTAAAAGCAAAAAAAATAAAAAAATAAAAAAAAAAATAAAAAAAAGCACGGCTCGCTTTATGCATTTTATGGCGGCCAACAAGTGCAAACATGCAACCAGCACCGAAACGCTCTGCAACCACATGAATGATGCACGTTCTAAAACCCAAAAACAAATGCAACAGAATAACTATGCAAATACAAAAAACAACTTGAACTGCAAAGCAGTTATGACCGGGGTCCAAGCCTGTTTATGCACATTGACTTTGGCCCATGTCCTCCCCAGCACCCTGTTGAATGTTCATGTAAGAGACCACCCTATGAAATTAGGACCAGCCCAATTTCATAAAATAATCCCTCAAGATCTTTGCATTATGAAATCCCAGACAATGACAAATTATCCACCCTGATCATGAATGAGAAATGAAAACTTGTGACCTGAACGTATTTCCAAAATAAAGTAATTTATTTTTAGATATATGAACAGGATTAAACACACAAACATTTATTACTGTCATGACATCGGGGGTTGAGAAGAACCTTGTCTCACCCCTGGCGAGCCC